TTTTTATGCAGGTTATTTGGCCAAATATATGTTCTTAAAGGTTTGTCGTTCTTCGGGCCAAAACCCTTTGGTTGAATTTTTCAAACTTGCGGCATAAGTGTATGACCCAAATGGGCAAACTTTAGACACAGAAATAACACCAAATAATTCTGATTCGGGTTCCGACGACGACGAGGAAAATGACTTTTTTTAATTAAAATTGTACCTACCTTCTTAAGTTTTATAAATAAAATTGTAACTACCTGTTTACCTGTATTACCTGTATTACATTTTTTCATAAATAAGGCAACTTTTAATACCTGTAACTAAAAATGCGAGTAACGAAAAAATGAAGTTTTTGAAGTTTTTGATCAATAACTTCAAAACTAAGTTTGTCCGGGCTTTTTTTTTTTACATTCTTATAAAGCACCCTAAAACACACATTTTGGAAAAAAAAAAAATTTTAAAAATCGATAGGTTGCTAAACTAGAATCGTTCCACGTGAAAAATATTTGTATCTTACTTTCGATGTTTTAGGATGAACCAAGAAAAATGTGCACTTTCTAGAACTTCCGAGCCCTGATAATAACGCATAGAATGTTGTCGTAATATGTGTTTTTATTTTTTGTCTGCGGGTCGGATAAAATTTGTTTTCCAATTGGCCTCCATTTGGTAATCCATGGTATAGACTATAGTGTGATGACTGATTTATACAAGCGAATCCTCCACCACGCGCGCAAACCATTTTACTAGAAAAGAATTATTGTTCGATACCATTCGACCACTTTTGATTTTCGAACCAATATGGCGGTTAATAAAAGATTCGATACCAGTATTTTTCTTATTGATATGAGTAAAGTATCGAAACCATAGATATCGATACAAAAAGTACTTGTATCGAAAGAAAAGTATCGATACTTTATTGGTATCGGTAGTATCGCAACGTACCTATATATATATATCTGTCGACCGTCGTACACTGACCGTAGAGCATTGGTTTCCGAACAGTAAGGCCAAGGCAAGCACTTGTTGGAGGAAGCGAAAGTCAAATATTCATATTGTATATTACACTATAATATATTTATTGTTAGAATCGACAGTAATTTGCTTTTGTCAAAATAATAAAAAAAAATGTTCTTTTATTTATTCTAGAGAGGCGCGATTTAATGTTTTTTTTTTTGTTAAGAGGATGCGTCATGAACCAAACATTTTTGGGAATCACTGCCATACCTTAACTAACTACAGTTCTGTGATTATTTAGTTACACAGTTCTATGGACTGTTCGAAATATACCCACGCAAATGGTGATAAAACAGGAGGGAACATCAATAAAGAAAAAAGAAAATCGTTTCTTCTTTTTGTCATTATTTAATAGCAATAATAATAATAATATAGTAATAAACATGATTATAAATTTATAATAAATTATTACACAAAAAAAATAAATAATTTGGACCTATATTGGTATCGTACTAATACATTAACTGTAAATAATTTATAACAGCCGTGCTTCATCACACAATTTATATATTGCAATTTATTTTATTTTATTAAAAATAATTTTACACGATTCTGTACTTACAAAAAATCGTACGGGGTAACCATATTATAATCAATAACGTCTTTCTCTCCCATATACAAATTAAACATCTGTTCTATGAATTTAATACAATTTTCTACTACCACTTAGGAAAACATAGTATTAGTAGGCTCGAACTGAAATTAAGGCAGTATGGCCAGCTCCAAGCCAATTAGAAACTTTTGTCATTGTTTGTTGTTTTTTGCTAAATTGTGAGATGCCCAATTAAGTGAAGTCTTCCACGAGTTGCCTAAAGCTTCTTCAAACTTGGACCTAAAATGCAGTTTAGCATCATTTTCTGATAAGTCTAGTACAAGTGTCTCACGTAAATAGTTAAGATCCTTTTCAGAACCCAATTCAGGAAGACCAGTCGATATCATCATTGCAAAAAGAGACAATATTAATGAGCCATGCCTCCTTAATATAAGAAACGCCTGAAATAATTTTATAAAGTTTTATTTTTAAAAATATAATTTATAATTAAAATAATATTACAATTGATTACCTTTTCACAATGATTCTGAAACATTTGAAACTCATAAGCTTTTCTAGTTTGTCCTTTATTGATGACATGAACAAAGTCATGGGTTAATACAAATGGCACACGCTCACGACGAAAACCAAATTTTTCTTTAAAATGACCGAGAATGTGCCCAAAGTCAATATGAAACAACTGAAAACAAATACATCAATAAGTAAATTAAATTAATATCACAGATAGTTGAAAATTAATTAAAGTATAAGTTAATTCTACACACCTGGCCCGTTTTTTTGACCATTATATTATCAGAATGACGATCAGCAACTCCAAGTACATATGTAGCTACACAATAACCAGCACAAGAAAATGTAAATTCTTCAATCGCTTTTTGCAATGACTGTTCTGTTTGATTGTAGTTTTTCAACCATGCTAAATATACAATGAGCATAACAGTTATTCATGTTCCAATGGAACTAATTAAAGTACTACGACTCTATACAATTTTACCTAATAATGATCCTTTTTTAAAAGCAGATGTTGCTGAGAACATTCCTTTTTCTTTTTGAATATTAGCAATGGTTTCAGCATTCAATACTACTTCAATCATACCCACACGGTTATCAGTTGATATGCATTGGTATGGATTCATTCTAAAAATAATTAAAATGTAAATATTTTATACTATACAAGGTTTTAAATACCTAATGAATTATTGAACTAAGCTTACCTTAAATCCAATCCTTCGTTTTTCCATAATTTATCCATAATACGTATCATTTGAAGAGCAAGCATATCCTGCCTTAAATCATCACCATTTTTAAATATAACATAGATGTCATCACCATGTGAATCAACATTTTCAAAAACTATCCATAAAGGTTTCATTTTGCTATCCATTACTCTACATTTTTCAGTTCTGTAAAATTACATTGGATTAATTTATAAAAATATAAATACTGTAAATTATCAATAGCTAACAAATGATCATTTCATACTTATACAACAATATATAAACTAAGAATATAGATTTTTAACACACCTGACTCTTTTATACTTATAACTAGGGTCTAAAGGACTATTGACGCTTGACATAGTTTCCATACAATGTCCTTCTTGGAAATACTCTTGTAAAAAAGATCGAGCTTTTTCTTTATCACGCCGCTGTCTAACCAATTCTGTTGTTTTTTTTAGTTTCTCCAAAAAATCCATTTGCCTTATTAATGATTTCATATGTTCAATGGACCCACGACAATAGGCTTCCAACATTAAACCAAAACGCACAGACACGGATGCTACTTGCATTTCTGATCTAATAATTATAACAATAACTACATGAACAACTGGATTTATAAAAAAACTATATAGTATATACATTATTTAGGTACATACCTTAGATGCCAAAATAGATAATGGCCAATTTTTTGATTTTGTAATGCTCTAGTAAGTAAAAATTCAACTAAGTCACAGCATAAATAAGATTCATGTTTAAGAGCTTGGACTAATTGTAAAAGAAACAATGAAAGATCTTCATCACTAAAATATACAATGTTTTATTTTTATAGATAATTAATTTATAAGGTATTAAAATTTTTTATTGAGTTTTAATATTTTTACCTCAGTGTTTGTAAACACTTGACAGCAAAACTTCGGACAACTTGATCAGCATAAGCATAGTCAAGTAATTCCAAAGCTTGCTGAGGACCCAAGAGAGGCCATTTAGACACCAATGAAGTGGCTTCTGCTACTTCCCACCGTATACCCCATTCTACACAATCTAATAGCTTGGCTAATAGCCCAGGCACAGATTGTAATATAAGGTATCTATGACGCCATAGTTTCTTTCGATCTTGTTCATGCATTTCATCTAAAGGTTCTCCTCGCTCCGCCATTGTCCTAAATAATGAATAAACATGTAACAATGTATTAACTCCCATAATATGAAAATTATATCATACTTTATTTGATCTAAATAAGCTGTAAGCGATTGTGAATCTCCTGTAGCTTGATCATTTAAGTCTTCTTTTCCTTTTTTTTCAGCATACTCTTGTAATTTTTCTAAGCTCGGGTAAACTATAACATGCTCGGGAGGTTGATAACTAAAAATTATTAAGTCTGTATAAAATGCTATAAATAGATTATAAAAAAATAATTTCAAACCGATGAAAAGTTATAGTTAGTGCTGTTGTTTGTTCAATATTTGGATTCGATACAACAGTACCAAGTGGATGCAGTAAGTCTTCATTTTGCATATCATCAGCATATGTCCACATATATAATGTAATTGATCCATTTTTTAACTGATTTTTAAAGTCATATACAGTAGTATTAACCCAATCCATAGGTGTCACAAACATTTCCTATATCATACACAACAAATATAGGTAAAGTAATCAAATTAATTTAATGTAGAATTACTTGTTTTGATTCTTTAATACGTCTAGTTCTTAATCCTTTGGAAGTCTTGGAAACTTCATACACAACTAAACATAAACGGGCCATTCGTGGTATATCAGCTACACTCATATCAAATACTAATTCTTCATCCCAAGTGCAGTCACCATTGTTAACAATCTTTTCAGATGTCCTAACACATTCGCACAAGGCTTTACCCCCATGAAACAAAGCTGCTTCAATTCCAACTTCAACAACTCTAGTAACATCACAGTTTAATTTACTAATATAGTTTACTTTGAACTTAAATTGTTCATCTATATCAAATGACAATTTGTGTTTTGTCTTTTTACGTAGAGTTGTTGTACGCATTTTATTTTGCTCTATGCTATCAGTCTGATCCATGTAAACTTCTTCTGGAACTAATATATTTTATGGGTAATTAGTAATAGTGATAATAATATCAAAATTAATAACAATGCACTACCTGGAACATTATACTTGGAAACAGCGATCAAAATAGGGTTGAGATCTTGAGATAGACTATCTTGTATATAGGCATAGTCGATCAAAGGATGTTGGCCAACAATATATTCTTCTCGGCCACAGACTTTCAAAGTAAAATCTGAACACTTTTCATTTCTAGTTTTTAATGTCATAGCACGTTTATTTATTATTTGCAACATTAATTGTTCAGGTGTTGTACTAAGACCAACATTAAATGTAAAAGTAGTCTAGAAATAAAATACATTTAGAATTTAATTTGCATGTTGGAATATACATTTGATAAATACCTCAGTGTTATCAAATTTAATCACAATTGAAAAATTATCATCTCTTAGTCTTCTAGTAACCGTAGCAGGCAAAACATTTGATGATAATGTGGAAGCAGCTAAGCGTGGTGCAAACTGATATACAAGTCTTTCTAACCAAGTTTTTCGTCGTCGATTGACTTGCATATGATCAGCCAGTGCTTTCATTTTCCCACGAAATTGATTCACTTCTGAACTCTTTAATGAATCAAATTCCATTAGACCTAAAGTAATAGTATAGTATTAAAATATGTTATACATTTTTTGCATACAAATATAAAAACAATGAAAGATACATGCCTTTCCCAATAAGATTACTGATTTGAGCATTAAGTACATTATCAGCTTTGTCTTCTTTTCGTTCAACAATATTTAGCACAGCTAAAAATGGTCGTACATCACACAGTCTTTTGTTTTCATCAACAAGCATTTCACGTTCAGCCATTGCATTGACATATGATATACTGTAACTGCTTGAGTCGTGCAACATGCCGTGTAACGGATATTTTACTGCTTCCTCCCATAGTTCCTGTGAAATCATATTGTAGATAAGTCAGGTATTAAAATATAATATAATCATCAGGCTGACACACCTCTTTTAATTCATGTAACGATGTGCTCAAAGAAACTGTTAAAGGTATTGAAATGCTATTAGGCATTAAACAAGTTACTTCCACAACAGAATCATTGTTTGGATCATTCCAAAAATCGAAGTTGAAAGCTGGATTTTCACACACCATGTTTATGTATAACGCAAGATTAATTGATAGTTTACACCATAGTGCTTGATTGTTAAATGTTTCACACTTGGCAATTGTCTGGAAAGAGCAAAAAAAAATAACGAAATGCAATGAGTGAAAGTGAAAAACAGTAGTAACGTAGACGAAAACAAAGCAGTATTGCACTCACCTTAGGTATTTACAGTAACTTATATCACCCACTTCAAAGCTCAGGACTGTTACATATTACTTTTATCGTCTTTTGAAAAGCGTCGGTCAACAAGTAGACAGTAAGTCGGCGAACGATTTTATCGCGATGTTTTTCCGGAGTCGCTAAAGAAAAACAACGAAAAACCAAGAACAATATCGTATCATAGCAAACGCAGAGACTATATCAGTAATTAAAATATTAGGCTATTGCTGTGTGATGATTACTGTTATTATTATTATTATTATTATTATTTATTGTTCGTTCCGGTAATATTTTTTTTTTATGTTTCTGTTTTCTTTTTTTTTAGTGCTAATTTCGAATAAAAAAAAAACTATAGTGTACCTATATTGTTACATATCGCGGTACGGACCGACCGCCGGTGTATTGGTCACACTGACGGAGTGCAAACAGAACGGCATCTACACGTTGAGCCCAAAACCATGTTATCTTCTTCAGTCGTTTCACTGCCATACGGTGTCGCGGTGAAGGTGCGATTTTTTTTTATGATCGTGGTGAATGTTTTTTATTTTTTTTTATATTTGTTTTTTTTTGTAATTTTTTTACCCATTTCACTCGGTCCAGAGTGCGTGCGTGATTGCAGCCAGTCCGGCCGATATTGGTGTTGTTGTTGTGTTATCGCCAACGTCGTCTTCGTGTCATCGGAACAACGATTGTCGGTCCACGAAAACCGTCAGAATATTTCCTCAGCCTAGTGGCGTCCATTATCGAAGGCCGTTTGGACTGGTTATCGGCGGTTAACTGAAGAAGGGCGGTGAAAACCGCGACATAGCTGTAGCGGTAATAGTGTAGACGTCGACAAAAAAAAAAAAAAATTGCCCTTATCAATACTAATCTGCGTTCCGGATTATATTCACGTCAAACGCAACAGCCAGTGTACCATCAACACCTTGGTGTGGAGAAGATTTAGAAAGTTAGTTTTCGTTTTTTCTTCTACTTTTCCTTTTACCCCTTTCCGCGGATTCAAACGTCGGGGTGTGATCGGCCAGTCAGACCTTGTAAAATTTCCAAGATGATGAGTCGTGCTGACGGTCTGGTGCAGAGACGCAACGTCAATAGAGACAACAATGACAGCGTGTCCCGAGAAAATGGTCAATCGTCTGACAAACTAGACTACGATGAGGATATCGACGATGGTGATTCTAAAGAAACACGGCTTACATTGATGGAAGAAGTACTGTTACTCGGCCTCAAGGATAAAGAAGTATGTATCTACATATTTGACTATTAAATCATATAATATAAAATCTGAGATATCAACTCTAAGTTTAATAACTTTTTATAAAATATTTAAAATTCTTGATTTTTTTTTTTCAGGCCTTATAGGTACCTATTGTCTTTATATTACTTTTATTTTATTAATTCATATTTATGAACAGTGAAACTTTATAATTATTTTAATTGAAAGAACTTATTTGTTGGATAATTCTGCTATTTTAGTTTATATATAAAAAATGCTTAAAAATAATACTTAAAATTGAACATGAGATATTATAGAGTATCAGTCCATTTCTTTTTTTCCTCGTTTCACACATCGTAACTCAGAAAATTAGTAGTATCATTATTTTAAGTTGAAATGCATCAATTATCATGTAATTTATTTCATAATTTATTAATTCTAATTTTTTTTTATTTTTTTTTTATTTTTTATGATTTTTTCAAGAATAACTGATATACTTGAAATAAACGGTTTATTTTTAATGTATAATTTATGTTTGATTTCCATGTAATGATGATAATGTCTAACAAATGTTGTCCCAATGCATATTAAACAAAGAAAAAAACATTCACATTCAACTCCATATTTTATAAAATATATAAAAACTACAATTTTATTGGTAGACTTAACTTTTATTCATTAAAAAATTTATTTTAAATAATTCAATTGATACATATGTCAAATTTTAATAGCTACTAAATTTTCATAAAGTTAATTCATTTTTGGATAAATATAATTTTACCTGTATAATTTTATTTGATGCTTTGTAGATAATTATCTTCAGTTTTATGAACATTATCTATGTTTATTTATTCATATGCATAATTTGTATTCTAAATACTAATTAATCTTTGCTTTAAGACTTTTTTAATAGTGACTGCATTGAATTAATATTAATTACTATTAAACAATAATTTATTTTTATTTATTGTTTTCTTTGTATACATATGTTTATATGTTTTAATATAAGATACAGCATTATTTGAAATGAATACATCTTTTATGTCTGGTATTTTGATATTATTTATATTTTAGTCAATACAACTATAGAACATTGTGTTAAAAATATTTTTAAATATATATATATAAGAGCACTTTCAATGTGCAAAAATTTTATATTCATATCACTTTTTAGGGTTATACATCATTTTGGAATGATTCAATTTCATCAGGTCTACGTGGATGTATACTTATTGAATTGGCTCTTCGTCAAAGAATTGAATTAGAAAAAGCAGGCATGCGAAGAAAAAGCTTACAAATGAGAAAAGTCATTATAAAAAATGAGACACCTACTGGTGATGTTCTTTTAGATGAAGCTCTTAAACATATCAAAGAGACAAATCCTCCTGAAACAGTACAGAGTTGGATTGAATATTTAAGTGGTATGTTTTATTATATAAGTTATACATTTTTCAAAATTAATTATGTATCCTGTTTTTATTCATAGGTGAAACGTGGAATCCTTTAAAAATTAAATACCAATTAAAAAATGTGCGAGAAAGATTAGCTAAAAACTTAGTGGAAAAAGGTGTTCTTACAACTGAAAAACAAAATTTCCTTTTATTTGATATGACAACACATCCATTAACAGATAATGAAGCTAAGCTCAGGCTAGTTAAAAAGGTAACCCATTCAATGATTTTAATTTTTTTTCTTTGCCTGTAGACAATATAAGAATTATAAGCCGTATTGTATGTATTATTAACTTAAATACATTTCCTTAAAATAAATATTAGGTACAAGATGCTGTTTTGTCTCGTTGGATTAATGATCCACATAGAATGGATAAGCGTCTTCTAGCATTATTATTATTGGCACAAGCATCTGATGTACTGGAAAGTGCTTTTTCTCCTTTAAATGATGAAGACTATGAATTAGCAACTAGGAGATTAAGAGAATTATCTGATATGGATTTAGAAGTTGAGTCAATGAAAGTCTCCACTAATGATGTTATTTGGGCTGTATTTGCTAATTTTAATAAATAAGTATTGTTATGACCATTTAGTTTACCAAAATGTTTATTATATTTTTTGGGGGGCTATACATAAATATAATATAAAAGTATTTATATTATTTAAGTATTTGTATTAAATAATATTGTTGAATAATCTTTTGCCATTTTATTGATTTCCATTTTGAAATTATATTTTTTATGTAAATTTCATAGCTTCATCAACTAGACCTAATATTTTTTTAATAATGTAAATAATTATGTAGTTGAAAAACTATTGTAAAAAGGATAATAATTAAATATCAAATGTGATTCCCTTGTAATATATGTGTAATAATAATTCTTTGATGATACTACATATACATATTTATCATTTTGAATTAAACTTAAATTGCAAGTATGAATTATCCATAATACACTTATAAAAGAATATTTGTGCTTTATACTTCAGTAATATTACTGATCTCACTGCTATAATTGTAGTGCCATTTTTTATCTTGAATTTACTATCATTGTGTAAAATTTATTTTTAGTTAATTTTTTTATGTTGAAATTTAAGATAATTTAATTTTTTAAATATTGTTATATTATTCCTTTTCAAATTACTGACTCATATTATTATTACTTCCTATATGAAAATATTTAGATTTCATATTTTTTGTGTCCTCTTAAAATATTGTTTATGTTAAAATATGAAAATTGTTAAAATTAAAAAAAGTTATAAAACTATAATCATTGCATAAAACATATTTTATTCCATTACAATTATTATAAGCATAAAATTAACCTGCAAAGTACTTCAAATACATGCATGCACCTTACAACTAATTTTTCATCTTTCCATTTATCATTAAATTAATTATTCTTTTATTATTTTCTATTATTTTGCCATACATAAACAGATTTTCATACGTGTAAAATATAATATTTCATAGTTTCTATCCAAAAATATTACTAAGTTAGTTTTGTTTAAATGCAAATAATTTATTCTGTTGTTTTATAAAATAATATTTTACATAATAACTGTATAAACATTTCTAAATAATGGTTGTATGAAAAAAAAGCACAATCTTTGGCTGTGATGGCGTTTTCATAAAATTTCTTTTACAAAATGTGAAACGTTGTACATATTATAATATTAAGCTAATTTGATTCAAGTATAAAAATAAGAATTTAATAAATTGTTACAGTAACAAAATACTTGTTGCTAACATAGTAATTATACCATATAACAAAGTATATCAATAAATATGTATATACATTGCATCTAAGTTATTAATAATATGTATATATATTTTCTTTAGTCTGTTAAATTTATTTCATTATTTTTTTTTATTTTAATTTTTAGTAAATTGTAATAGCTTTACAATATGATAAAACATGTAAAGTATTAAAATTGTTGCGTTTAAAAATTTTATTGATTTATATATATAGATAGCATTTATATAATTTATTTAAATGGCTTTAAAAAAATTTAAAAAATTAGAGAAATTAAAACGGTCGTTTTTATAACAAAATATTGTTATTAATTAATATTAATAACATAGTAATATTTTTCAAAATTTTAAATAAGAATAAAAATTCCTAGTATCTTATTATTTATATTATGGTTACACAATTATATTTCATTTTCTTGAGATACTGAAGTACATTTTTCTGTGTAAAATGTAAATATAAAATAACCTAATTAATCAGATATTTATGTTCTTCTGCTGTTCAAACTAAATGATGTATAATAACTATTTGTTATCTGCCCAAAGTGCAATAATTTAAGGCAATTTAATCACAATCAAATTTACCATGGTATGGAAATATGGGATTAACAAATAACCTAACCATTTAAGCAACCTGAAAATTCCATGACAACTGAATATGTATGTAAGATTATACTCAAGTTGATGTATGCTGAATGTTTTTTTGTGTTTATATTATGCTGTTTTAATCATGTGAAAATACTTTTGAAATAATTCGAAAATAATTGTAATATTTTAATTACCTTTGTATTTAATATATTAGTTCATATTATTTTATACACATGATTAATGAATTATTATAATTTATATTTATGATTTTGTTATACTTAAATATTACATTAGTATTATTCTTACTTATGTCAGGTGCTCAATACTTGCAGTATGTGTATTTTGTTCACACATGCTGTTCAGTTGTATTCATAATAAGTATTAATATATTATGTTGACTGTGAAAATATAATTCTTCAAAAACAATTTAATAGTATATACTGGACATAATTTATTTTTGGTATAGCAATGTATTCGCATTAATATATAAATTTAATTCATTAATTAAATTTTAAAATGCATAATGTGTATATGGAAATTGATTTATGTGCGTCACGTTCCTTATCAAAAAACCATGTAGTCACGTTACAGGTTATAGTCATCATAACTAAACCAACGATTAATTACTGATATTCTAATTATGTAAAGAATGCATAGCAATATGACGTAGTATTATATTTCTGTGATTATAAACGTACTAAATTTGAAGTCTATCAATATTTCACTTCTTATGGTCTCCCACTTATAATAATTATTTCCATTTTCACATGTATTTAATTGATTGACGTTCAATAAGTCAAGGTTCAACTTATGCTGTAATTGTATATTGTTAAATTCATCATTTTAACGTCAAATAAAAAACTAGTGATAATATGACGGCAAGTACATTATATTAGGTATTTTGCCTTGAGTTGAGATTGGCATCCTGATTCATATTGGCCTACTCCTTTTTTTCTTCAATGTACACAATAAACAAACTAATCTAATCTTATCGGTAAATATGCGCATTGTTTTTATCATTATTCTCTTTTATAATACAGTTTGTATTTATTATGCTTAAAAATTTCGAACTCCCTCGACATTCATAAATACTTGAGCCAAGGGACACACAGCCCCTTGATAGGTTTCTAAGGCTAATCCATTGCATTAGGCAAACGTCGTTCACCACCCCACTGGTGGTAATATTATAATATAGAAAATTACAGTGTACATTATAGTGTATACTAATCCGCCCCTGTGTATAAGCCATATGGAATAGTCTAAATTTATATTTAGTCTAATGAAAGTAATTATTGTTAAAGTATTATAATATATATGTATACGATTATTATTATTTTAATTTTTATTTTAACATATTTTTTGAATTAAATACCTTTAACACAATATTATTATATGATTATAATTTATTTACAAATTATTTTATAAAAAACTAAAAAAAATAGTAGGGGTTCCACGATAAATGTGAACAGCAAAAAGGGTTCCACGGATAAAACAATTAAACAAACGCTTATATAAAGATTTTTCTATATAAAACTGTGTAAACAATAATCAACATAATCGTTCGGGGCAACACAATGATTCTAAATATTATACTACTAATAGTGAATTTAGAATTATTATTTTTTAATAACTTATCATTGAAAATTGGACTAGTGTATCTGATTTTTAGAGCCTAGGTGCAACGAATTCCGCAGGTTTATATTTTAAGTAAATAATTACCGAGAAAAAACGAAAACTGATAAAAAAATAAACAGTGCTTTAACTGTATAACATACACAGTATAAGTACCAGTGCCGTAGCCAGGGGGGGCACTGGGGGCACGTGCCCCCCCCCCCCCCCGGAAATAATTTTTTTTTTTTTGTTGGCCAAAATTATATTAATATAGCTATATTAATTAATACATTATTCTATCAATATATGTTTTAACATAATATTTTAATACTTTGTTATTTTTTAATTTTTAAAAATATTATTAAAGAAATAATAATACTTTGTTAATAATAAATAATATAATAATGTGTTAAATATATGGGTACCATAGTTGTTAGCATATAATGGTAGTCATAAAAATAATAGGTCTGTAGTTAACACTTTTAAGCAAAGGGGCCATAAAGTAATAGTTGATGATTAGGTATTCTAGCATTGCAAAAATTGAGAAAAAAATTAAGTGCCCTCCCCAAAACAATTTTCTGGCTACAGCACTGATAAGTACAATTACATATTTACTAAGAGTACTAAATATTAATTTATGTATTATTTTATAGGGTTTAATATTTATTATTATAAATTTCAACAATCATTAATTTTCGATGTTTAATTCTATTGAAATATATACTTTAGGTAAACACTAGTTCAACACAAAATCAGTTGCAATAACCCTTTAATTACCATTAATAACTTAAGGAAATTTTGTGAAAATAATATTAATAGAAATATTGCATAAATTTACATTAGAAAAAGTATAAATTATTCACTGTTATAATCTTTCTTGTTCTTTTCAGACTTCTTTTTCTTATTTTTGCGACAATGTACCCACTCCTACTTCGATACTTGTATCCTAGAACGTTTTTCATGACTACGACTTCTAGAACGATGATGATTAGACTTGTGTTTATATTCCCTTTCTTTTTTATAGCTTGTTTCTGGATTTTCAATGCCACTCTCTCTGTGTCTACTACGTTCCCTGTCCCTATCACGTTCCCAATCTCGATCTCTTTTACGGTACCGATAACGACCTTCACATTCTCGTTCATATGCTCGACCTTCTGGTTCTTTTTTAAAATGGGAGACATAATATTCTTCATCAATTACCAAATCAGGTATTAATTTGTTGTAAGAATCTGCATTTGCCATTCCAACTAATGATTCATTACAACGCATTTTCCTTTGACGTTCATAGTATTCTAACATTTGCTTTCATTAAACCCGTAGCTACAATAATCAGTATTATCTGTACCAGGTTTTAACCAGTGTTTTTCTTCAATAGTTTCAATAGAACACTTGTGAGCAGGAACACCATTTATAGTGTCCATATTTTCAAAGTCTTCCATCATTGAAGATAAAGTAAAATTACTATCTACTACAACAATATCAACATCTTCTTCACTGTCAGATGATAATTCTTTATCTTCAAAAATGTTTTCATGAACACTCGAATCTTCAGTTGCGTTCGTTTCGGCTGCATCTTTAAGAGCTTCAATTAAAGTTTCAGCCATCGTATAGTAGTAATACGAGTTCCAAATAATTA